ATTGTTCTCTTTTATACTAAAGTTAATTCATTTTCGAAAACCACACCGAATACCTCTTAATTTAAAAATAGATAATTTTTCAGTTATCGTATATGTAGCTACGAGGTGTGATCAAACAATGTTATTTGTCCGATAGCCTGATCCGTTGAGACAGGCAGCGTCAAGTTGGAACACGTTAGATAAAAGGAAAAAGTTTAGATTTTTGGAAATATTCTGAAATTAGGTAAAGTTTATTTTTAAATTCCGCACTTTTTTGAAATATTCGATTGTACAGGGTGCTGCGTGTAAATATAGTGACGTCATCAGCATTATTTTTTAAACCGTAACCTCTATTTTTTATAGAATATTCTAACAGTTGATCCAATTGTCATCATAGTAATAAATATGTTTCGCTTTCATAAATAAATTTTTTCGAGAAAAATAATTATGGAAACAGGAAAGAGGAATTATTATTTACACTGATTATCATTTAATCCGAATACTACGTCAAAAAGTGCGGAGTTTAAAAACAAAATTGACCTGTTTTTGGAATGTTCCCAAAACTAAATAACTTATGTATTCCTTACTATTGACTCGCACTATATGTGCGTGAGGCCACTTTATCTTATAGACCAAATTCTATAACATGCATGACACCGTTAAAACACCTTCTTAACTTTTTCCAAGTTGAAAAAATTGCATGAAAAATTCAGTTAAATTTATTGAGATAAAATTTTAAATTGTACTCCAAAGAACGTTGAATAGTTTTAGTTTTAAACTTGCCTTTGTTCGATCGCGAAGTTCCAAAGCTTTCGCAACATAAATGCACGGGCTCCTACGTAATTCAAACTATGCAGAACTATTTTAAGAATTTCATGAAAAATAAACTCTCGTTCGAGTTAGGACAACTTATAACAAAATGTTTTAAATATTTAGTTCGCTTGTATAGGTTGATCACAGATAGATAATTCTAGAAAATTAATTTAAACTTGTTTGCACCATTGAAAAAAAATTTAGGAAGAAAAATTAGTATACCTCATATTAGTCGTAGAAAGGTCATATTGGTGCAGATAATCTATATCCATCTCATTATTTTAAAACTGTATATACCAAACGGCGATTTTGATTATTCCATCCAGTTTTTAAATAAAAAATATTCATTCAGCCTATATAATATACGGAGTGACCCAAAATTCTGGAAACGGCCAATTATCTCGTAAATTGCTAATCCTAATTGTATAAAATTTGGGGTACACCTCTTTTGGAATACAGAAATTCCAGATTTGATATTTGCAATGTTGCCAGATTTGTCGTTTCTCTTATTTTCGTTTCTTTTATTTTTAGTCACTTTGGTTTTTCAAATTCATCACCCTAAATATTCAGTAATTATTGGAATCTCCAATTCAATACGAGTTCAACCATATGTAATACTTATGCGATTTTATGTAGTCTGGAAGGTCTTAAATAAATAAAACATTCATGAAGAAATGTGGTTGATGCATTCTACCATCGATTAGGGTACTGTCAACTAACAAATGGAGCACATTTTGAACACTTGATAAAGTAACCATTATGTTAAAAATGTTGTATTCTTTCAATTGTTACGTTTTCATGTAGTTGAAAATAGCTTGTATTAAAAATGTATTGAGGCAATTAGGCATTGCTAGACTTTTGTTTTATTTAAGACCTTCCAGACTACATAAAATCATAAGTGTTACATATGGTTAAACTCGTATTGAATAGGAGATTCCAATAATGACTGAATATACAGAGTAATGAATTTGAAAAACCAAAGTGACTAATAATATAAGAAAAACGGCAAATCTGGCAAAATTGCAAATATTAAATCCGGAATCTCCGTATCCCAAAATAGGTGTACCCCAAATTTTGTAAAATTAGGACTAGCAATTAACGAGATAATTGGCCGTTTCCAGACTTTTGGGCCACTCTATAGATAGATAACAAGCTAAACAAAGTCTGCAAAATTAATTGTAGGTAAGCGATAAGCCAAAAAACGAAATTGGGGCAAAAATTTGAGAATGTCCAGCTTCTGTAGAATCTCGAATCTTGTTAATATATTAAGAAAAAATTGAAAAACACAATAACAGTATTTTGGAAAATATAAAAATGTTTAAAAAAAGTAATAACAAACTTAAAGAGACAATTTTCACATGAACTATTACCATTTTATTATATATTTTCAAATATTTCAATATATTAACAAGACAAACAAACATATTTACTTGTATTGTGTAGCCAAACTCTGAAATTTTGAGTATCATTATTAGAAAATATTAAAAATTTGCAAATTCGAAAAGATATTTCATGCAGAAAAGCCTATAAAAAAGTTATCTATGTAAATATGCATACTATACCATCTAAAAAGAAGAAAATGGATGATGCTTTTTCGATTTATCATGGTTTAATGATATACAAGGTATCCATAAGTAAGATTCAATTTTAGGACCAATATAATTTAACTAAAAAACATTCTTCTTAATATCACCGCTTTAATCTCGCCGAAAGTGTGAAACTCGGAATTATATTTTTTACCTTATGATAGGAAACTATACAGGATGTTCCTAAATATCATGTTTATATGGAAGGGGGTAATTCTTTGGCTTATTTCACGATCAAAAATTTATTTAAACATATGTCCGCAAACGCTTTTTGAATCTAGGTTATACTGTATGGCTTACATCTTTGAGCATACCAAATGTTTACGAGAATCTACTACATTTTTTTCTTTTCCTGAACTTTTTTTGCGGTAAATTTTGCTGGTAAATTATAAAATAAAAAATAAATTTTGTTTTATTTAAAAAGTTTTTGATTTCTTGTAGTTTTTTGGATTTGCGCCCGTTATAGAGAATAAAATTAAAAAACGATTATCTGTGATTCGCAAAAATGGTCTAATTTTTGACAGTACTCATTTGAAGTCGTAACGTGTATCTACATGTGTTTATAAATTAAGGGAAACAATCTTGAAGTTGGACACCCTGTAGAGTGGTAACGAAGCGTTCGTGGAACTATGTTTATATAAATTATAAGTACGTGTGTACAAGATGTTTAGGAACACAATGTATAACGACTAAGATCAAACTATTCTAACAATTGAAGTTCACTGCATTGCACTAATTTATAAAATGATAATTTTATTTCAATAAAACTAATTTGGATTATTTTTAAGAACTTTGACGGTTTCAGCTTTTTCTTTCATACATAATCTATCGTTTTTGATAATCGTGAGATAATTTTATTTTCAAACCCCTTATTTTTCATGTATTGACGTATACTAAGGTAGAAAAATTGAATGTGTTGTTGGTGCTAAAAGAGTTTTCTTTAGACACAACCTGACTATATAAAAGAATAGTTTTTTTAGGTTAGCAACAATTTAGTTACGAAATTCAACCGAATACTAGTGGTAATTCATATTTGTGTGCATGAAAAGTTGGAAAGGTTTGTTAAGCTCCACAGTATTTAGACCTTTTTAGATCAATTGTGGTGGTTTACTCTTAGCTCGTCAACCAATCTATTGTTTAAAAGTAATCAAGAGAAGTGCTTTTTATATTCGCTAGAGTTGACAGAGTATAATAATAGCTGCAAATTTCGGGAAGTCATAAATCATATGCTGGATAGTTTCATCTTATTGTATTGTATAGGTTGCTATAGTTTTAAAATAGGTCCCTATAAGTGACTCTCGTTCGTTTATTACAATTTCAGACATTTCAAATTATTCGAATGATATTGGCATAATCGAATTAATTGGAATGATGGTAATAATCGAATATTCGAATGATTTACCATTCGAACGATTACATCACTACATTGTCAACTAGTCTCATTTTTTGGAGGTGTTTGCGAATTTGCAATGACCAGGATACCTATTCTCTAATTCATGGGAGCACTCCCATACTCTCATGCTCCCATACTCCCATGCCAACGTTGCCAAATCGACAGAATAACTTTGATCTACTATTTAAGTAGTTCAAATTTGCTTTGTGATAAATACGGACCTAAGGTCCGTATTTATAAACAAAACTCAGCTGAGTCAGACTTGGGTAACGTCCTTAAACGAAAATCTAATGCCGCGTTTGAGAATCCACATCGGATGCATCTGAGATGTAGTAAATCCTTGATCACGTGAATCAGTATACGTAAATGTAATTGGACAGATGTGTCCGATGTGGATAAAAAAACGCTCGAGATGTAAAAAATGCATCCGATGTGGATTCTCAAACGCGGCATAAGTTCGGTTATATCGCGTGAATTTAGAGATGGGTAGTAACAAATTTGTAAATGTACATAACAGTTACAGATTTGCTAATATTCATCTCTAAATTCCAGTCTAACACCAGAACCACTTAGAATTTTAGAGACGTTGTAACCAAACTTCGATTTTAGTTCAAGGACGACTTACCCAAGTCCGACTCAGGTAAGTTCTGTTTATAAATACGGACCAAAAAATCTGGCAAGCCCGCAATTCTCCCTCCCATGGTATAAAATCTGACCTTACCACGCATGAACCTGGCCTAAAAGTGAGTAAGCACGATATACCCACCTAAGAGTAAGAGAGAAAAATATATAGGAGCACTCCCATTCGAGCGCCCCCATGACTTAGTGAATAGCTATCCAATTAGAATACCTACCCCACCGTCAGACGTAGGTTATATATTATTCCTTTCAGTCCCGTCGTCCATCATAATGGACATAAACTTCTGCAACCAGTAATTCAATATGATGTATTTTATTTTGCCTATATTAACGTTAATATTTTGTTACATCAGTCTAGAGCACGTGGTTTTATTTCTAAGTGTAAGTAGGGTTTTGGTCCAGTAGGTAATGGTGGCAGCGCAACTAGTAGAGGCTGACGTAAGTAAATATTTTTATTACTCCTGACGTTGTTAATATTTTGACATTGAAAAATTATTTTACTAATAATTGGACACGGGACAATATTATAATTTTTTTATAGGTTTGTTAGACATGTACAAAAAACGATTGTCTATTGTAATGGACTTCAGGACTAAGTAACTGTCGACTGTTTGGTTTCAATCCAAATAATCCCAAGGATCAGGATATCTTATTATCGTTCCTAGACGAAGATGAATTGGAAAGAGAATGTGAAAATGTACTACAAAACCTTGAAAATAATTCAGATTTGGAATTAGACAGCGATAATGACAACATAGAACCCGCGAATAATTTTGTTAAGAAGAGATAGGAGCTAAGAGCTAACCCTACAGATGTTGATTCTAAAGTTTCAACTAAGCCTGAAAATTTAATATATTTTTATTCCAAACGTTATTGGTTACACTGGTTATTAGTGAGAGTATTATTAATCACTTTTCATTACGAGGATAGTTCACGAATTATTGTCCCTGACATGGTTGGCGTTGAATGACAAATGCAAATGCAGTGTCAGGCAAAAGCTTATTGTTTGACATTAGCATCAACGCATCAGTTCATGTATGTTAATTAATTTTTTTCTATTGAGGTGTGCGTGATTTTATAAAAATTGACAAAATTGAGATAAAAGGTGCGATAAAATACTTTTTTAAAAATGGGTTATTACCACAAGAAATTTATAAGGACATGGTAGAAGTATTGGGTGACTCTGCCCCTTCATATAAGGTAATCAAGAACTGGTCACGAGATTTTAAACTGGGAAGAGAGTGTTGTCAACATGCACCAAGTGCAGCAGTTCCCAAAACTGTGGTGACCAAAGAAAATGTGAATTTAGCCCATAACATGGTATTAAATGACAAAAGAATTACAGACAAGGCTATAGCAGACATGTAGGGTTTCTGTTAAGCGTTGTAAAAAATTTACATAAGGAATTGATTCCCAAAAAACTGTCTACACGTTGGGTTTCACAAATGCTGAAGGCAGATCAAAAGCTAGTTCGTCAGGTTGAAGTGGAGTAAAATTTGGAGATCATTAACAGGAATCCCGATGAATTTGTGCGAAAATTTCTTACTGTCAACAAAACATGGGTTTATCAATTTAATTAAAAATCCAAAAAACGAAGAATGGAATGCCGGTATAGGGGTTCCCCCCTCGGAAATTTCAGTTGGTAAGATCACGCCTACATTTTTTTGGGATTTGGAAGGTGTTATTTTCATGAATTATTTGCCGCGTGGGCGCACCATAATAGGTGAATATTATGTGAATTTAATACCAAAAGTATGCCAAGCGATCAGAGAAAAGAGAAGAGGAAAATTGAGACAAGGTGTGCTTTTTTACCAGGACAACGCGCCGGTCAACAAAAGTTGCAATGGCTGCCATTCACAAAGCAAGATTTGAAATTTTTAAACAACCCTTATTCTTCAGATTAGGCCCCCAGCGACTACCATCTATTCCCAAAATAAAAATAACATCTTCGTGGAATGATAACAAAGTGATGTCGGCGGTAGATGAATGGCTGGAGACTCAACGTTCTGAATTTTTTTCAAAAGAGTTTGAAACACTTTAACACCGATATACCAAGTGTACAAACGTTGCATGTTGAAAAATAAATTAGTTTCATTCTTCTCATGTTCAAGACAATAATTCGTGAACTATCCTCGTACACCAGCATGATTATTTCGATTAGTTCAAAACATTTTGTGGACAAAAATTTTGACTATATTTTCTTACTGTAACAGGATGCGCAAATGGTAAATCTTAGTATATGTCAATTCATAAAAAAACGTTGTACTGAACTTCACAAATATTCACATATAAAATTAATTGTTCCTAAAAAGGTTTCGAACTATGAGACGCCTTGTATTTACAAATTTTCATCACATATCAGTCATCCGGTCTGCTATTTACATACCGCTATGCCACTTTGGGAACAATGCCTATTCACAAGCTAATGTCAAATATGAAGTAGTGTGTTCACCAAAACTATAGGCAATACTTTGATCAATTATCTTTATTGAAATTTTACTATTTATTTGTTCAAAAACAAGTAAAATTCGTTTCTGGTAGGGGAGCCAGCGATATTTTTTGGTAATTTGCGCAAGGCAAAATTACATATTTTTCGTATATTCTTACCTTGTAGAAAATGGAAATACTTTGCTCAATGAAGACGTCTTAAAAAAAAACCCATTGTAGAAAATGCTAATGTAAAATATTTAAAGACAAATAACTTGACATAAGCATTCATGGCTCAGGTCGTTAAGCGTGCAACTTTGACTTTCGAGACCTGGATCCAATTAACGATAAAAGTTATCTTTTTTTTTGTTTTATTTTGAAAAAAACTATGAAATTATTTAACATACATTTATCATAATATAACCCCTACAGTTAGGCAATACGTTAATCGTTCGACTATTTATTTTGTATTATTCTGAACCATTATCAAAATATTTTAAAATAAATGAGGACCCTGGAGCAAGAATAATCTATATAACATAAACTTACTTTTGAGATATGGAATATTTTAGATTTTATATTACTAAAACAAATAAAACATTTTGCATTGTGTAAAGATTCTTTATTATTATTATTAAAGTATTTATTTACGGAATGCAAAATGTTTTTTAAATTATTTGCTTTAGTAGGTAATATAAAACCTAAAATATTCCATACCCCATAAATAAGTTTATGTTACATAGACTACTCTTGCTTTAGGGTCCTCAAATAGCGAAAAGATTAACGGATTTCAAGGGTTATATTATGATACATAAAATGTATTCAAAATAAATGAACACAATACATGTTATTTTTAATTTTTTTATATTTTTTCAAAATAAAAAAGATTGCTTTTATCGGGAAATGAACCCGGGTCGCGAAACTGAGCGTTTAATGAACTGAGCCATGAAGGCTAATATCAAGTTAGTTATCTAATCAAATGTGACATTAGCATTTTCTTCAACGACTTTTTTAAGACACCGTTATCGAGCGCTGGTGCATTTGCAGCAAAGTATTTCCGTCTTTTACAAGGCAATAAAGATCGATAATATTGGTAAATTAGCCTTGGGCAAATGTGTACTAAAAAAATGTAACTGGTCCCCTTATCATTATAAAGACACTAAAACTATTCAGAAAGTTGAGTAATAAGGCGACATAAACGAGAGCAATGACAACTGATTAGGAATGTAAGCACCATACATGTTACAAGTTTCTTACTTATTATAAGTAGGTACTAGAAAGGGAAATTCAATAAGTATGGCAGGGTTAATATCAATTAAACTTAAAGAAGGTACGATAAAGGTATTTGGTAAACATGATGGTCGATCAAAGAGAAAAGCGGGAATGTAGCGCACCACTTCTTATTTTACTATCTAGATTTGATAACCCTTCATAAAAATTAAAATTTAATAGAATAGGGTGTTTATAAATTCATGTGAAAAATGTTATAAGGAGAATATCTTGTAGAATTCTAAAAATATTTGAACTATTTACAATATAAATTGAATATTTTATATCGAAGAGAGAAGGCTAAAATTCCTTCATTTTCTTATTCAATAAATGGTACAGTTTTCTATTTTAAATATTCATATTTTATAAAACAACAGTAGCCTGATAATTTGCAAACTTTCACGTGATGCAATAATTAATATTTCAAATTGAAAAAGGCATAAGTAATTAGTAAAGTTAAATATTTACATTGAACTATAAATGGTAACAATTTCGATGTGTAATAATATTTAACATAATATTGACATTTGATTAATAAAATTCACTGATTAAAATATTGATAAACAAATATTGGTTTATAGGTATTATAGTGCTGTAATTTAATATTTTTGATGTCAACATTTTTAATATATTTAAACAAAATTGGAATTATCAGTTCGCTTTAATCAAGGATAATATACCAAGATCTTAATAAATAGTCATTTTTTTTTGTTGAGTCTAAATCTCGAGAATATATTAATATCGATTTGATGAGACATAATTTTGGCATTAATCAATTGATTATTAGTGCCAAAATTATGTCGAATTAAATTGTAAAATATAGCAGAATAATATTCAAGATCGTGTTATATTTGGGACGACTATTTTACTTGACCAAATATTGACTATGTAACTACATTACGATAAAAAAAAACTAAAACGACATTTAACTGCATAAAATAAAAGAAGTTTAGCATTCTAATAGATAAAATATATTGTCATGGAAATATCTAAGCCGTCTCTGTAGAGCGCGACCTTGAAGTCTGCCACCAGACGCATGGTCGAAAACCCGGAATCTTCTAGGTATGCCGCTGACGCTTGGAGAACTGCCTCTCTATGACTCATACGCCAAAAAGGGATCACTCCGGTAGTTTCTCGAAGCGTCAGCGGCATACTTAGAAGATTCTGGGGTTTCGACCATGAATCGGGTGGCAGAGGCGGCTTAGGTATTCCCATGACAATATTTATGTTTATATAATCACACGGTAATGTGTATAAAAATCATAATAGAAGGAGATGTTTTACATTTTTTCGAAGTTAAAAATACTGGATCTGTGATAACTATATATTACAACTTGAATGAACTATGACAAAGTCGATGAGAGAATGGAACAGTTACAAAAGTATTCACTGGGGAATGTTAAAGATTTGTTCCAGGTGTAAATTGATGTCAATGCTCTCAAACATCTACGGACATTGAATCAGGATGCTATTGCTATTTAGCAAATAGTATAGAAAATTACACACTCCTTAATATTTTGAAAAACTAAGTATTAGAATATAATATTTCACAAAGTGTATTTTCCCTTAGGAAAATAATTTAAAATATTTATCATGCTTTTATTACAATGGAATGATTTAGATAAATAACAGCAAAAATTATTTTGTAAGTTCTATAGTTTTTTTCTGGTCTATAGCTTTGGTGAAATCATAAAATTATAGACACCAAAAACACTTGTTTTATATTAAATTTTCATGTTTTAGATAACTCCACCATTGGCATCTTAACAATTTTATACTAACAGATTTACATTTACTACAACTAAAAAAAAAAAAAATAGTAAATCAGGCATGTTCTATACATAACACCGATGAAACTACAAAATAATAAAACTAACACAAATATTTTAACTAAAACAAAAACTAAGTCTTACCATCTGATTTTCCATGTAGCATTGAAAGAAATAAAAAATAAATATAATTCACCTGAATCCAATCAATATAATATTTTTTAACATTTAAGGTGGAGTATTTTTTGACGAACTAATTTTGTTCAGAATACGTCACCAAATTGCAATTTTTTTCATTATTTTACTTAGTTTATTATTCAAAACT